TGAATTATATTTGTTAAAAATACTGTTATTCATCTTTAAATTTGTTTTTGTTTAGCGTTTCATAGTACAATCCCACTTTTATATGAAAAAAAAAAAAAAATGATACAATGCAGTATATAAATTATACTGAGTGCCAATTTTATGATAACAATAAAAATTGTTAGATAAAAACATCAATATTTGTTCATTGGGTGCAAGTTGCCACTTTGTATAACAAAGTTTAAAAACTTAATTCAAAAACCATGGAAAGTTCAAAGTTTTTACAAATATGCAACATTTTATGTTAACGTCAATCGTGTCTAGTTGTAACGTCAAGCATCAGTCATGTTTAGTGCTTCTGGTGAGGTTTTCTCTGATTATGTTTATAAAGCTGAGCATTTACGCACAATAAGAACCAAAGTGGACCACCTAATGATATACAACCAAACATACAATCAAAGTCAAGACGGTTTTATTCTATTCATTTTTAGCTTGGTTTGTTATTGCTTTTTGGCAAATTGTAGGAACATTCCTATTAGTTATAATCAAAGTAGTTTTTACAGTGAAAAAGTACTTGAATTTACTGAAGAAAATAGTATCTTGTTTAAAAGTAAACAGTATCTTGTTATATAATTGGTAACTCTATCCATTTATTGCAATCTCTTGATGTTGCATTTGATTGATCTCTTAAAATATATTGTAAGAAAATACTTGATCAATTAAAAACCTCTTGTTTAAATAATGCACAGACCATTATAAAAATTAAATCTTCTTTGTTCTTTATTTACTTATACTCATTATATTTGTCAAATAAAAAGGTAATTAACAACTTAGTAGTTTTGAAAGAAATATGGGGTTTACCCATTAGATATAAGTATCATCTTTAATCGTTGGTCAAATAATTATAACTTTAGTACGCCGAGCAGTAATTAATGTACTTTAACAATTTTTTCATGTTGATGAAAAAAAGCAGACTCAAAGGGAAAAAAAAATTACTTTTGATCTTGTCAAAAATATTTCTTTTAAGGATTTTTTGGCAAAATGTAAAGATGTTCCACTTGCATAGCCTGTAAGTGAAACTGATGTAAATGAGACTTTTTTATGCTAGTCCACTTAAAAAATACCGATTTAAACAAAATAACTTACTAAATGGATGTTTGTTATGAAATAATATTACATTATTTTAGCAATAATAAATTACAGTGAAACTAGACTGTTGTTTTTATTAAATTTTAAAACAAAACAAGGCGTTTTTGAATAGGTTTTGCTTTTACAAAAAAAGCGAAGGAAGAGCAAGTAAATATATCTCAAAAACTTTCAAAGTAAACCCGTTTTACGGTATATAATATAATATATAGTTATGATATATATATATATATATATATATATATATATATATATATATATATATATATATATATATATATATATTATAATTATATAATATATAATTGAAGTATATATATAAAAAATCATTTAACTGAACATGCTTGTATTTATTTAGTTGATCAAATAAATAATGCTTTAACGAAAACAAATTTACTTTATTTATATTTATCAATCTCTCAAAAGTTTTTGAGACTGTTGATCATTGTATATTGTGAAGAAAGTTGAAGCATTAGGGAGTAACTAATAAGGTCTACTATTGGATTAAAAGTTACCTCACGGATAGAAAACAATTTTCTAAATAAAGAATACGGAGTACTTAAAATTCCGTGTAGTACTACCGTGGAGTACTTAAAATTCCGTGTGGAGTACCGCAAGGATCAATACTTGGTCCTCTCTTATTCTTAGTTTATGTAAATAAATTAAATAGTGCATCAGTAAAGTTAAAACCAATTATGTTTTCGGATGATACAAACCTATTTCTTTCCGACATTAGTATCAAACAACTTTATGCAGAAATGAATTTTGAATTATATAAGATAAATGACTGGTTTATGGCGAATAATTTCTCATTAAACGTTGAAAAAACAAAGTATACCTTATTTCATAGAAAAATCTTTCCCTTAAATTACGTGACCAATTTTTAAACATACAAATAAAAAAGTAAGACTGTATAAAGTTTTAAGGAATACTTGTTGATAATAATTTATCTTAGCTTCCCGATATTAAATATTTACAATCAAAAGTTAGTAAAACCATTGGTCTGATGAATCGAGTTTGTCCATATGTAAATTCAGTCTAAAGTTAATATACTTTTCTTTAATTCATTGTTTCATTAACTATGCTAATATTACATGGGCTAGTACACAACCATCAAAACTTAAAAAAATACATAGTTTGCAAAAACATGCGGGCAGAATTATTTACGGAAAAAAAAGAGGAGAGCATACTAAACCCTTAATGAAAAATATGAAAATAATAATTTATACGAAATAAATTATAATGAGCACCTAATATTCATGTACAAATATATTAATAACCCAACTCCAGCTAATTTTATTTGTAAGTTTGAGAAATATTTAAATGAAAAGTATTTTTTAAGAACAAATCGATCAAATTCCTTTAAACTACCAAGGAAATTAAATAAATATACAGAATATTTAATAGCATTTCTAGGACCTAAGTCATAAAATTCTTTTCAAAATACAAATGCAAATATGGTAAAATTATTAAACTCATTTATGTTTCAAGCAAAAAATCACAATTTTAATTTTGCGAAATAATAATTCCAAAACAATTCTGTAAGTTTATTGAAATGTATTTTACTTAGTAGTTACTAATGATATATGTTTCTTTTAATGTATTAACTATCAAATATGTTTGTATTTATTTCCTTGTATACCTAATTTTGCAATATAGTTATTGCAAAATATCTTTGTAATTTTTAAAATAAGTTTTTCTTGTTATATCTTTAGTTTATTTTATATATTTTTTATTTTGTTACTTTTATATCTTGGATTTTTATAACTCTTTTTGAATATATTATAACTTGAAATGTCAATATTTTATTATATTATGGGGCTCAATGAAAAGATTGAGATGATATTGCATCATCCATATCTTCTTTGAGTCCCCGTCTGTATTTAAATCTGTAATTTATTTTAACAGCGAAATAAAAAACAAAAAACAAAAAACAAAACAATATATATATATATATATATATATATATATATATATATATATATATATATATATATATATATATATATATATATATATACAGCGGTGGCCAAAAATTAAAGACCACTCATTTCTTAGTTGGTTTTTTAATCTTTAAATCAAAAAAAAAGAAGATTTTAACTGACATATTAAATTTTTTTTTTTAATATCTTGTTAATTAAAACATTCAGATTAAAATGATATAACTTTTTTAATCTAATTCTAGTTAAAAAGCGTTTAACTTATTAAAAAACTGATGAGTACTTATAAATCTTCTTTAAATAAATTGGACAAAATTTAACAACCACTTTCAAATTTTTAGTTTGCACCTATTAAAAATAATAATCTATTATTTTTTTAACTGTCTTAATTGCTTATTACGTTGGCTATAAAATAAAATGTCGAAACCTGAGTTTTGATATCAAATAAACATTTATTTTTTGAATTGCAATAAGGATATAAAAATATTGCAAAAATGCGTGCAAAGATCGAAGAAAAAAGACAGATATGCGGCTCTTGTATTAAAATAAGAAGGCTATAGCATCAGACAAATAGCAGAAAAGCTCGGACGGTCTCACTCTTGCATTATTAACATAATTTAACGATACAAAGAGGCCGGGTCAATTAATGATTGTCATAGGACTGGACACAATAAAATTTCAAATGACCGTGATGTTCGCTCGTTAGTGAGATTGATGAAAGAAAACAGACGAGCATCATCTACAGACTTGTCAACGAAATGGACACTGTCAAAGGGTCTGAAAGCAAGCCCTAGATCTGTGCGAAAGGTCCTCCACAATTTAAATTATTTATGGCGTGCTGCTGCAAAAAAAACCACCCTTAAATAAAAAACAAAAATTTGCCAGGAAAGAGTGTTGCAAACTACATAAAAATTGGTCAACAGATCAGTGGAGCCGTGTGGTCGTGCCGTGTAGTGATGAAATGAAGTTGAGGTATACAAAAGAAAAGGTCACGTAATGTTGCGTAGACTTTCAAGCGAACGGTTTGATGAATCATGCATTTTGAAACGAAGAAAACAAGGCAGTGGTTCAATAGGCATTTGGGCCTGTATGAGTGCCTGTTGAGTTGGCGTTTTTCATTTATTTGATGGTAGACTCAACAAGAAAGGTACATCGAAATTATGGAAAACTCGCTTATTCCTAGCATTGATTTATGGCAGTTGCAAGATGGATTTATTTTCCAGCAAGCTAATGCACCGTGTCATAAAGCGCATGTTGTTAGCGATTGGTTCAATTCTAATAAAATTCAAGTGCTTCCATGGCCTGCCAATAGTCCAGACTTAAATCCAATAAGGAATTTATGGTCGTGGCTTGATCACAAGCTTGGTAAAGAACAACTTTACAATTTGGAAGGTTTGAAATCTTCTATCTCTCATCATTTGAGTAATGTGCCTGATGAAGTAATCAAAACTTTAATGAATTCAATGCCAGAACGAGTACAAGAGTGCTTGAAAACAAATGGAGGAAAAACACGTTTCTAAATTATTTTTTTATTGATTTTTGAAATATTTTTGAAACTGGTCTTTAAATTTTGTCCAATTTTTTTTTCTATTTATATTTATTAGTAGTCAGTTTTTTAATTTTTTAACATTATTTTGTAAAAAAATTATAAATTCTTTTATAATAAATATAAAATACAATAAAAATTCTTTCTAAAAATGTTTTTCTTTTTTTGATATCTTTTTCCAAAATAAAATTATACTAAGGTTAAAAATAAATTTTGAAAAAATAATGAGTGGTCTTTAATTTTTGGCCACCGCTGTATATATATACAATATTATTTTTAACATTTTTTAGTGGACTCAAGTATAAATAACTTTATTGATAAAAAATTTATTTTTATAATAAATTAAACAAATAAATGTTTATGCCTTTGTTTTTATTTTACAGATAAACGGAACAAGATTTTTCTTATTTGCGACCGACTGTAAGTATTGCTTTATATTTGCTTTAACACAGCTGTTACTTTAAAAATATTACTATGTAAAACCAGGTATTAAAATATTTTTTATTATTTTTCAGCATAAAATATTTAATTTTATGCTAAGTTTAAAGATTTTATGCTAAGTTTAAATTCTTCAAAAAGTTATAAATGTCATCTAATAACTTTTTTGGTGTTCAAAAGTTATAATTTTGTAAAATTTAAAACCCCCTCATTGTAGGGAGGGGTGAAATTTTTCATATATTTATAACTTTCAAAGATTATAAGATAAATTAAAAACCTATCAATAACTTTAATTTTTTCATATAACGTATAGTAAATTTATTTTTATTCATTTGTTACTATTGTATCTGGAGTTAGCGCTGCAAACTTCATGGAATATTATTGTTCTTAGACTCCAATCACCACCAGTTTTGTAAAACATTCTCATTTGACAAACTTATGCAAACTTAAATTTTGAGTGTCAGCAGTACCTAAAAACGCGATTCATAAATTCTCGGTAAATATATAAAATTTATACAATCAATTCAAGTTGATAGGAATTAATAAGTCACACAAGCATTATTTTGTGGAGCTTATTAGGCAATTAATAAGCACCACAAAAGAGCATTAAACTAAAAAGTTCATGCAGCTTCGTTTTCTGATGTCACAAATATGGCGAGAGCGAGTATTAAACCTTGGACCTCTCAATTCTGAAGTAATGACTGTACCCATTCAGACACGGCTGCTTAATCAATAAGACAGGAACATTAGAAAAATAAAATAATCTATAACTATAGTTCAAGTGACGTAAAATGTATAAACAGTAATTTCGCATTTACTTAAAACTCAATATTATTATCTAGAGATTGCACGCATATTTTCAAACTTTGAAAATATTTGTGTGCTAATTATATGAAAAGTTTTAAAACTGTAAAACTTTTTACATAATGTGCTAGCATAAACGAGGCTTCGATAAATGAGGTTAGCTTGCATAAATGAGGCTAGGAATACTTAAATGTAATATTGTTATTTAAAAAAATAAAAAATTACTTAGAAATGTTGATGAACATACGGAACAGCTACAAAAAGTAAAGATGAATATACAGTTTTTCAAGGAAATTTATTTTCCTAAACGATTTATTTTTCTTATTAAAGATTGTTTTTTCTTTTCTTTTGAAAGAAGTTATCAAATATGTTATTGACACACAGTGTAATTTTATCATTAGATTGTGTGTTAATAACATATTTAATAACTTCTTATATAGACAATAATCTATAAATAAATAGAAATCCATAAAAGCAACAGGGTTTGTTTAAGTTAATTAAACGAAGGAAATACCTATTTATGTTTTGATAAACTTGATTGATTTGATGCCACAGATTCAATATACAAAATACGAATTAATATACACTTTATATTAGCTCATATTTTGACATATTTTCACTTTTATTTATGCTTGATTATACTTGAAAGCTGACTTCATTTTCTAATCTATTTTCTAATGCTGTTATTTTAGTCTCATTAAGTGTTGAATTGATTCAAGCAGATTATTCTTGCACTTTGCTCACATTGGCACGAGCCAATGTGAACAAAGTGCTTGCATTTGCATAATATGAATATAATTTTTGATTGCCACCAATGACGGATTCAGGGGGGATGGGGGCTATTATCCCCCACCACCAGAATCAGAAAGTCTTTAAATATCTTTGTATTGAGGATCTTTTTTTTTTATTAGGAGACTCAAATGTGGTAAAAAATACAAAAATATTTCCACATCAACCCTCACCTCCACCCGCCACACCAATAATTCCTGGATCCGTCACTGATTACCACAAACAATAATGGCAGTGCATCTGTAGTATTAAAAATAATTGAAGAAATATCGTTGTTTAAACTTTTAGAAAATTCGGAGACGCTAGATTATCTACAGCATTTATAGCAACAATAAAGGTTACGGTGTCACGTTTTTTGGACGAGAAAAATTGAAAATGCTTTTTACCTCTTTTTTTTATAATTTTTGAAGTTCCAAAATTTTTTGAAAATTAATTTGTAGGCCGAACTTACGTATATTCTAAATCAAAAAAGGCTTCAAAAGTTTCCTGTAAAACGTCATGTGGTAAACAGAAATGTTTTGTTTTTATTACAGACAGACCCGAGACTTCTGAAACTAAAGCTTCTTTTGTGAAACTATTTTATTAACAGAAGAATTTGCACTTTTCAAATCAATTAGGAACCTTATATCTTTTTATCTTTGTTACTACCTTGAGTAACATTGAAATAAGAATAAAGTTTTCATTTTGATTGTTATTTTTTGTGGTTCCATATATTTTCTCATTGTTATTAAAATCAATATATATATATATATATATATATATATATATATATATATATATATATATATATATATATATATATATATATATATATATATATATATATATATATATATATATATGTATATATATATATATATATATATATATATATATATATATATATATATATATATATATATATATATATATATATATATATATATATATAAGCATTAAAACATCATATGCGGTATCATACTATTAATTTATTTTTATTTTTTCATTATTATAAGTGATATTTCGGCTCATATAGTGAGAGCCATTGTCAAACTAATAAAATCGTTAAAAAAACCGTTTAAAAAAATTATAACAAACGTAAAAAAATGATGTCATTGTAACGTCAGGTATTCAACATTTTTTAATTTTACAAAAAATGGTTTCCAATCGTGAGTCATCACCAAAGTGCCATTGTCGCAATTTAAAACGTTTTCTTTAGGTTTTAAACATTGTACACGTTGTATTTCAATAGCCTTATGAATTTTTCTGGCGTAGTTGTTTAAAATAATAGAAAGCGTTTTAGGGTTCTCCCAGTTTATTTTGCCATTACTATGTTGCGAGTGTTCTACTATTCCTGACGTTTCCAAGTTGGCTTTTGTAACATTATTTTTATGTTCTTGAATTCGTGTGGAAATCTTTCTTCTTGTTTCACCAATATAACCACATGAGAAATTAAGTTATTACACTTCTGGATGACTATTCGGAGGCAGTTTAGACTTGTTACGGCAAAGTATATTGATTAAGGGATTACCAAAACGGAAGACTGTTTAAACGCCGACTTTACGAAGTTCTCTTTTAAGAACAAGACTTAACTTTGGGACCCATGGTAAAATAACTAGATTTTTGGTATCAAGTTTTTGAGAACAAGATGGATTTGTGGGGTATTTATAATTTTTAGCAATATCTGAATACTGTTTATAGGAATGTCAATTTTTAGTAAAAATCTTAATAAGAAAATTAATTTCATCTTGGATGTTATGCTCTGAACAAATTTTGTATGCTCGAGCTAAAAAAGCTTTAAAAATACCAACAGCGATATTCGTTGAAATAGATGATTTCGGTTTTATAAGTACGTTTGTAAAAAATGTTGGTTTAAAATGCAAATATCTAAAAAATTTGGTTGAAATGCAAACATCTAAAAAATTTAATTGGTGTTGAGCATTTTCGTATTCGCATGTATATTGGATAGATTTATCTTGTGAATTTAAAAGTGTTAAAAAAGAATTTGCGTCATCAATATTAGTATATCGAGCATGGCTATCATCAACGTAACGTTTTAAGTTTTTGACGTTTAGAGCCTGTTTAATAGCATTAGATTCAATTTGTTGTATGATATGCTTCTGACAAGACGACCATTATTGACAGACCTATTGGACCAGAATTTTTTAAAATATATATTTTGTCTTCCCATAAAAAATAACACTTACTAATGCGATCAATTAGTTTATGAATGTCTACTAAAGATAACTTAGTTCGTTGTATTAGATCATCTCTATCTTTGTTTAGCATATCAATAGTTGTAATAGTTGCTTTACCAAGTGGTACTGATGGTTATAAATTAATAACATCAAATGACACTTGAACTTCGTCATTAATAAATCATTCTTTTGCTGTTGATACAAATGAAGATGAATTTTTAACATGGCATTCATTTTTATTTAAAGTTGGTTGTATGATCTCTATAGATGTTGCAAAAGTTTATGTGGTGGTGTGACGATTGTTGAGACTATTATTCGTATTGGATCACCTTTTTCACTTTTGTGTGCTTTAATACAACCATACGTTGTATTAAAGCACTCAAAATGGAAATATTACTATCAATTTTCACTCTTAAATATTTGGATAATGTTTTGCTGACACTTTGTCCTAAAAATTCTGCTCTTTTTACGTTCACATTTTTTTCAATATTTAAAGCGCATTCCTCAGTTGATGTTATAATATCAATAAATGATATTTAATAAATTGCGGACCAAGACTTAATAAATTTTCCTGTTCACGTGAGATTGATATATTCGAAAGATTTAATATTGGATTTTTTATAAGGTTAGTAGGTGGTATTGAAATAATACTTAAAGGATTAAACTTTTTTAAACTATCGTTCTTTTTAGAATTGATTAGAAAATTGATCTTACGTATAAGGTGTTGTTTTGTTTGTTCAAATTTAATATCTCTTAATTTATCAGTTATGCGTTCTATGTTTAACATATCTTCAGGTTTCATAATATTTTTAATTGCATTCGATAGTTTGATGACCCTACATTTGCTCTGGTAAAATCTTTTTTTAGCGTCATTTTTTGCAATAATTAATAATTTTTTTCTATATTCGACCATTAGATTGTAACCATTATTTGTTTTAACTGAACAATGAATGTGATAAGATTTAGGTATGATATTATATTTTTATACATCTGTCAAAAAATATCCATTGGTTTTTGCTAGCGGCGTTCTTGGTGTTTTCTACTTGTAATTGAACGGTATTCTTGTAAAGCTTCCCACCGTAGGAAAAAGTTATATAAAATTTAAGTGACATCTTTAATAGTTTGTGTAATTATAAGCATTAAAACATCATATGCGGTATCATATTATTTCTTTCTTCTTTTTTAAATTTTTTTATTTTTTATTTGCAATAT